TATGGCTGATGTGATTAGGCCAACTCTGTCCACATATCTATTCAAGTGACACCATCATATGAAAATGTTGAACCAGACCCCGGCAAGACCCTACTAGATATGCACACTCCAATTTGAGAGCGAACCATTGATAACTACTCGGTGAGTATGGTTTTTCAATCAGGTGTGCATCCGCCTTATAATAATTTCATCTGAACCACATTTCTCTATTATGAGAGTGTGAGGTGGGACTATCTCAAAGACTTACTAAAATAAAGATATAGCACATCTACTGCTTCCACCCATCCATAAGCCAGTAAACCCTGTCAAAAAAGGAAATTAGGTTGGTCTGAGATGATTTCCTCTTGACAAACCCATGCTGGCTATTTCTTATAACCCTATTATCCTCTAGGTGCTTGAAATGGATTGTTTAATCATTTGTTCCAGTAGCTTTCCAGGTATCAAAGTGAGGCTGACTGGTTTATAAATCACTGGGTCCTCTTTGTCCCCCTTTTTAAAGGCAGGTACAGTTATCCAACATGTTGGGGCAATGGGGGGTGCTGGTAAGAGGGGGGGAGTTTGGATGCGGGAGGGGGTGCGGGGCTGGGGGTTGGGGTGCAGGGCGCAGACTCTGGGGAGTTTGGGTGCAGGAGAGGGCTCGGGGCAGTGGATTGGGGTGCGGGAGGGGGGTGCCGGATCCAGGGGCGTTCACCTTGGGCAGCTCCCTGCAAGCGGCGACCTGTCCCAGCTGCTCCTAGGCGGAGGTGCGGCAGGCAGCTCTGTGCGCTGCCTCTGCCCGCAGGTACCACCCCCCGCAGCTCCCATTGGCCGCTCTTCCCAGCCAATGGGAGCTGCGGAGCTAGTGCTCGGGGGGGGGCAGGGGCAGTATGCAAAACCACCTGTCGCACCTTCATCTAGGAGCAGCCGGGACAGGTCACCACCTGCAGGGAGCCGCCCAAGGTGAGCGCCCCCCAGATCCGGCACCCTGCACCCCCTCCCATGCCACAACCTGCTGCCCCGAGCCCCCTTCCACACCCAAACTCCCTCCCAGAGCCTGTACCCCGCACCCCCTCCCATACCCCAAACCCCTGCCGGCCCTGCGCCAAGCAGACCATAAACCAGAATTTCAATGAAGATCAGAAATGCCAGTTTATAGAGCTTTCTGGTTGGTGAAGTGCCAGATAAAACAGCTTTTACTGTACTGGGTTTGCCCTTCTCCCGTCCTCTAGGACCTTACCCGCCTTCCATGAGTTCTTGAAGATAATCTCTAATGGTTCCGAGGTTGCTTCAGTAAGTAACGCAGGGTGAATTTCATCAGGCCCTGTAGACTTGAATACATCTAATTTATCTAAATATTCTTTAACCTGTTCTTTCTTTATTCTACCTTCTGTTCCTTCCCCCTGGTTGTTAATATGAAGTGTGTTAAGTATCTGGTCACAATTAACCTTTTTTTTTAGTGAAGACTGAAGCAAAACTGACACTAAATACCTCAGCCTTTTTGGTGTTGTCTGTTCTTAGCTCTCCTTCCCCACTAACCAGAGGACCTAGGCTTTCCTTTGTCTTTCTCTTGCTCCTAAGCTATTGAAAGAACCTCTTCTCATTGCCTTTTTTGTCCTTTGCTAGCTATTACTCATTTTGCACTTTAGTCTTTCTGATTTTGTCCTGATGGAGCCATATTGGCCTTTTACTATTCTTTCTATCTTTCCTTTGCATCGGGAGTGTTTGCTGTTGTGCCTTTAATGCTGTCTCTTTGAGAAACTGCCAGCTCTCCTGAATTTCTTTTTCCCTTGGATTTTCTTCCCATGGGACCTCACCTACCAGCTCTCTGAGTTTGTTAAAGTCTGCTTTTCTGAACTCCATTGTCCTCATTCTGCTGCCCTCACTCCTTCCTTGCCTTAGAATCATAAAATCTTTCATTTCATGATCGCTTTCCCCCAAATTGCCTTCTGCCTTCAGCTTTGTTACCAATTCCTCCGTTAGTCAGAATCCATTCTAAAATGGTCCCCCTGGTTACTTCTTCCATCTTCATAAACAAGAAGCTATCCCTAAGACGTTCCAAGAACTTACTGGACATTTTGTGTTTTGCTGTACGCCTTTTCCAACAGACGTCTGGGAAGTTAAAGTCCCCCATCACTACCACATCTTGTGTTTTTGTTATTTCTGTTATTTGTTCTAGAAATGCCTCCTCCACCTCCTCCTCCTGACTGGGTGGTCTGTCGTGGACCCCCTACCATGATGTGGTAGGTATTTGTCTGCAGTGACTTGTATTGTCTGAGTTAGGATTTAATTTCACTATTAAGAATGAGATTTACTAATTAAAGAGAACTAACATTCACTGGCAACCTTGACTGAGACTATCCAAACAGGGTGTTTTTAGCTTTGCTGTTCTTTCACAGCTGTATTTGCAGAGGAGAAATGGTTTGTTGAGATGCAGAACTTAATACAATGTGAACTCTAGCCTGTTTGTAGAAATTCAGACAAACTATATTTATGACGGTAACGTGTACAATTGTAAAAAGACATCCGTCATATAGAAACAATGCTATTTACATGATAGAGTTCATCTCAGGGCAGCGCAGTGATTAAGAAATGTTTATTTGACATCTCTAGCTCCCTAATGGCACTATCCTTCCACTAACAAAATGGTGTGATAAGAATGTGCCTGGCCACCAAATAATGCCACTAAACCCAAGTTATTTTTCATTCAGACTGTAACTGCAGAATAAACTGGTGTGTGGTCCAGGCCTCTATCACACAGGAGCCTCACTGCAGAATGACTACAGGGTAGTTCACATGCCTGTTTCAGGGTTGAGAATTTGAGCAAGTTCTGAGAGCTGTTTTGAACTCCCTCCAGCCCTCCAAATTAAAAAAAAAAAACACAGCTTGGCCCCGCTCTAACTGCAAGGCACCAGGGCAACATTGGGACAGGGCACCCAAGCACAAGGAGCCCAGCTGAGCTCACAGGCATGTTCATCTTCCTCAATGTGACTCCCTGGTGTGCCCCGTCCAGGTGGAGCAGAGGGCACATGCTGTCACCACATCAGAGCGTGCGACACTCAATTTGCACAGGGCTAAGTGACTGCACAGGATGCTGGGGAAAGCAGCCCTTACACGTGAAAAGCCAGAGGGAGCGAGGAAGGGATTGCCCCCATGAAGGGGTAGGGATGGATTTACAATCCCCTGTGAAACATTCACCGTTGGCTACTAACTCCTCTGAAACATCCACCATTGGTTACTATCTCCTCTGAAACATCCACCGTTGGCTACTCTTGGAGACATGCTACCGAACTGAATGGTCTGTTCCAGTGCCCTGCTACCAGAATCAGAGCAGACGTGGTTTCAACACAGAGTCATAGATTCCAAGGTCAGAAGGAACCACGGTGATCATCTAGTCTGACCTCCCGTATAGCACAGGCCAGAGAACTGCCCCAAAATAATTCCCAGGTCAGATCTTTCAGAAAAACATCCCATCTTGATTTGAAAATTGTCAGTGATGGAGAATCCACCATGAACCTTGGTAAATTGTTCCAATGGTTAATTACTCTCACCGTTAAAAAATTATCGTATTTCCAGTCTGAATTTGTCTGGCTCCAACTTCGAGCCATTGGATCATGCTATGCCTTTCTCTGAGCTTATTATTAAATACTTGTCCCCCATATAGTTACTTATAGACTATGATCAAGTCACCCCTTAACCTTCACTTTGTAAAAAGATTGAGCTCCCTGAATCTATTGCTATAAGGCAGGTTTTCTAATCCTTTAATCATTTGCGTGTCCTTTCTTTCTTTTCTCCAATGTATCAACATCCTTCTTGAATTGTGGACACCAGAGCTGGACACGGTATGCCAGCAACGGTCGCACCAGTGCCAAATACAGAGGTAAAATAATCTCTCTCTACTCCTACTTGAGATTCCGCTGTTTCTGCATCCAAGGACTGCACTAACCCTTTTGACCACAGTGTCACACTGGGAGCTCATGGTTCAGCTGATTATCCACTATGACCCCAGGTTATAGAGTCCTCAATCCTGTAAGTACGGCCTACTCTCTTTGTTCTTAGATGTATACATTGACATTGACATCATCCAGTGTTCACTGTCAGGTGTAAACATTCAGTCTCTGCTTCCAGAAGTGACTGTGCATCGGGGTGTAGCTACGGGTGGCCCTGGGTGGGCCACAGCCCACCCACTTAGCATCCAGGCCCACCCCCCAGCCCCGGCTCTGCTCCAGCCCCACCCAGATGTGGAGGATGCCACACGAGAGGGTTGGGACCACGGCGGCACAGCAGCGGAGCGCCTGACAAGCCCGCCACGCATGCACACATGGCGCAGCAGGGGAGGGCAGCCGGCCCGCCCAGTGGCGGCGATCATTAAAAAACGTAGGCCTGCTGCCTCGGGGAGCCAGGCCCGGCGTTGGTCAGTGCAATGGGGATGGGAGCCGTGCACGGCAGAGAGCGTCGTCTCCTCCCGGAGCTGGGTGCGCACACAGGGCCCCGGGGGACTCCTGGCGAGAGCATCCATCGCCCCCCACAAGGCCGGCTGGATTGGAGGGGGCGGAGGCGGGCCCCCCGATGCCTCCTGTCCCCCTGTGTCCTGCCCCTGTCATTGCCCACCCACCCAAAGCCGGGGCCCACCCAAATGTCCCATGCTAGCGACGCCACTGCTGTGCATGGACGATCCAGAGAGTGCCAGTATCAACTATACTGCCAGAAAACAACAGCACCAACAACGAAAGAGGCCACTCGGTTGTACCTGCTGCCTAAGCAGCCTGCCAGAGGCAGAAGATCACCTCCAGATCCTGGTCTACAAACAAAGGACTTGGTCATAGACAAAACCACCTCATCTTCCAGCAAGCGCGAGGGAGGCGCACTTCATTCACATCTAACATTGCTTTGCAGAGACACCAAACTAACGCAGTCGTTTCTCCTCTTTCGGGTTGTCTAAGTCACAGAGCGCCACAGGATCCAGCTCCTTGGCCGTCTCTACCCGCTGTTTAATTAAGAAGACCATAAAACCAAACACTTACATTGCTCCCTGGTAATGAACTGAGGTACAGTGCTGGGGAGAGGAGTGCTCGGGTTCGGGGTTCCCACTAGCTTGCTCTTGGCCATCTTGGTGTTTGCCTTGGCGAATTCTAGTCGTAGCGTTTGTGGAATTTCGGGGTCAAAGCGAATTCCCTTTGTCAAAGCAAGAAAACAGAGCGTGTCAGTTATCTGTACAGCCAACATGGAAAACTACTGAGTGAAATCAGCACTATGGACGAGTGCCCCGAACACCAGACGGAGAGGCCGCTGTAGCTCAGGTCACCAGCACCTCAAGCGCATGGCTCGAAAAGCCAAACAAAGCAAACACAGACCACACTGGGATGGGCATGGTTCTCCACAATTCTGACTCTGTGATCCCACAGCGAGATCCTTGCTGGCAGGCCCCAGCACTTGCGTAGGGCTCCAGGGGTCACTAGGGTCTTGGTGCGTGGATCGGATTGCAGGATAAGGGCCTCCACCACTTTGTACATAGAAAAACGTACCAAAATTCCAGTTTTAAAGCTGAATCCGATGACTTGTTTTTAAAGCAAATTCTGATCTTTATTGAATCGGCTGATAAAACATGCAACAATAAGGGCTTTGTTTTCCTTAATTTATTCACAAATAACAGAACTTGCCTTCAGCTGGCTTATAGACCACTACGGAATTGGAACTGCAATCGCTGTGACCATAACATAGTTCACAAGGCAGACAACATCTCACACACACCAGCCTTTGAAGGCTGGCGCCCTCAGGCCATGGGCTGTCCAAACGCAGACAGCATTATTCAGTTACGTGGCACAAAGTAGTGAGTTGATCTCTGGACTCCAGTTATCACTAACTCCACTGTAAAGTGATAGCGGAGCCTGCCGGAGGCTTGGGGAAGAAAGGGCAGGATGGCCATACATGAGCTAGAGGGCAGCAATCCTAAAATCGGGGAAGGGAGGGCAGCTGAAAGGCTCAGAGTCTACAAGGAGGGAGGGATTGTTTGGGAAGGCTGGGGCGGGGGATGAGGAACCTTCCGGGAATATTTTTAAAATTAAAAAGAGGGAGAAATGTTCACGTTTAACTCAGGCTGGGCTCCCAAGCTCCAGAATTAAACCCAATCAGGGTCCAAAAAGGCAAGGAGGGGACAAATAAAGGAAAAGAGAAACACCTGCCTCACTAATGTCCTGGCTTTGAACTGTTACACTTCTTAGAGCCAGGGCAGATGGCTCGGGGAGCTGGGAATGACTTTCCCCTGAAGGCAGTGAAGAGCACAGCCCCAAACTGGAATTAGAACCACGCCGAACTAGCTAAGAACAAGCCCGGTCTGGGCTTGGGGGCTCAGGGCACGTCTAGCTGAAATGTTCTTTAGCGACAGTGACGATGCACAGCTACAAAATGGCTCTGTTATCTAGGGACCCAACTGACGAGAAGCTTCTCTGAAACTCCAGCTAAACACAACTGAACATCTCGTTAGAACAGGCTTGCTTGTGAGCTCTCCAGAGCTTCCTGCTTTTATGCATGGGCCAAAAATACCCACCACAACAGCCTTTTTCCCCCCTGGAACTTTGGCACTTTCACTTCTAGGTCCACCCAGGAGACGAAGGAGGGGCTTGTGGTCAAGGCATGGGAGTGGGGCTCAGGAGATGCGTGTTCAATGCTCTGCCACAGACGCAGTGTGATCCCGGACAAGTCATGTCCGGCAAGCTTTTCCGAAGGAACGTACAGAGTGGACTTGTGATGAGACTTAGGGCTAGTCTACACTTACCGGTTAGTTCGACGGCTGCGGATCGAAGTTCCGAGTTCGATTTATCGCGTCTGGTCTGGACGCGATAAATCGAACCAGGAAGTGATCCCCGTCGACTGCGGTACTCCAGCTCAGCGAGAGGAGTACCGCGAAGTCAACGGGGAGCCTGCCTGCCGCGTGTGGACCGCGTCTGAACCGCGGTAAGGTCGAAGTAAGGTATGTCGAATTCAGCTACGTTATTCACGTAGCTGAATTTGCGTACCTTACTTCGACTTGGGGGGTAAGTGTAGACCAGCCCTTAGGCTCCTGAGTCACTCTTACAAGTCACTGAGGTGCTTTGGGACCTTTTGCCTATAGTGTCTCCACACTTCAATTCCCATCTGTAAAATGGGGAGAATGAGCCTCCCTTTCTCACCCCCTTTGTCTGACTCGTCTGCCTAGATGGTAAGTTTTTTGCTCAGGGACATGATACAGCCCATTGCACATTGGGGCCCTACCCTGGGTAGAGAGCGCTAAATATGACAACAAATAATGGAGGTGTAGAAGTATGTGGAACCAACCAACCAACCACAATGGTAGCTTTGTTTAGCTCCCAGCTTGCGTGTGGGGGAGGGATGAGGGGTTCTAGCCCTGCCCAGGCTGTCATGTCCATAGCTTGCAGTGACCAAAAGCCATGACCTCCGACAGCTCTTTGATGTCCTGTGTCAGGAGAGCCGACCCTCTCTCCACTGCTCCACAGACGTGTCCACAACCCAGGCCTCCCAGACAACCGGCATTGACCGGCTCATCGGCTCTCATGTCATCACTGCAGAGAAACCAAGGACTGAGCAGGCACGGAGGTGGAACTGCCCTGAGAGGGGGAGAAAAGCCTCCATTGCTGGCCTGCTCCGGATAAGTAAAGGCCTGTAGTCTCCAGAGCTACGATTCTGGCATTGACTACAAGCAATTCTTCAGCAAGAGGACAGCGTGCGTCCGGGGGCCATTTCGGTTGATTGTGTATTTATTTTTACTTTTACTGCTATTAGAGGGTAATGACAGCTCTGTCCAGCAGGAGAGAGGGCAGGCGAAAGCCGCTCCTTACACACTGTGACACGGGCACTGGGACGCTCACGACTCTCACAACGCTTGGTGCTTTTCTCACAGCCCCAGCCGTGGGGGTCAGGTTCTTAGCCGAGACTCTCCCCTTTCATGACGAAAAGGGACTTTCTGGGGCAAGCTGGAGAGTGTGACAGCCCCTCCCCCAATGCTCCCACCTCAGAAAGCAAACGAAGAGAACGTCAATGTTAGTATTTTGTAAAATCCCGTGGTTTTAAGCCAGTCCCAGGATCTTTTGGCCCCTCGCTCGTGAGTTCTGAACACTCGGGGTTGGTAATGTTGCACAGTAGGAGCTAGCTGATAAGGGCCAAATCTGGTTTGAAAACATGGCGGCAGATCCTCCACTGGTGTGAATGATCAGGACTCCATTGAAGAAGGATCTGCCTGGGGGTGTGTACGCTCTCCATTCCTATGCGATCTCCAGTAGTAGGCCTGTGCTTATGTGGGATAGAAACAGGCCCTTGTTTTGATGACCCGACTCACCAGAGCGCTGCGGCCTCTCCAATCTGTAACGCGCAGGATCGGCGGGGACGTCTCAAAGCCCCTTCTCTTCTCAGACTGTCTGACAGACTGAGGAAGAAGGGGCTGTTCCACACAAACCCACACTTTTTAAATTGCCTTTCAAAGAAATCCCCGAGTCCAGGCAGAGTGAGAAACGTTAAATAAAACGCCGAGTCGCAGCCCCAAAGCAAAGCAAGGCTCTCTCTTTAGAGGAGAAAAGAACGAATGGGCGGGGCGGAACAGTCAGCTGGGTGAGTGGCTAATGCTGCCACAGCTGGCTGGAAAGATGTTCCTGGGGTACAGGACTGACCCGACGGCTACCCAGCTGGGCCAGTACTGCATGCCAGCCCCAGGAAGGGCACAGGGAGAGCAAAAGGAGCAATACTGAGGCAGTGACGGCGCAGTGCAGATGACAGCCGCTTTGCTTTAACAAAACTCACATGAGTAGCCTCTAGGATTTGGCAGCCCTAAGGCGATGCTGACACTGGGGACCCTCAGCCAGAGAAGGTGTCTGCACTGTGCGTCACTGTTATCTTCCAAACCAACCCGATTCTTCCCCCTGTCGAACTCCTGAACGGCTCTGGAGTGGAAAGGCAGCACCTCGACTGCTGGGGACTCAGTACATCCATTACATTAGGAATGCGGGGAGAGACACACGTGGTACAACTGGGGGCACACTACGCTGCCAGAAGCTCGAGGCCCTACCCAAGTTTGCATGAATGAAACAATTTACATGAGTGGCTGCTGAGAGGACTCCTACAAAACTCCATCCTGCTGCTCCGGGCGGGGCTGCTCCAAACAAGACAGAGCACTGGGACTTGTGTTTCTGTGGAGCACTTCTTTATTAAAGGGGAAGGTGGCTAGCGCTCACATGGCAGACTCTATGGGTCACATTGCCTGTAGGCTGCCGCTGGGTCACCTCCCGCTATTGTCAACCATCATTGTCATCTAAACGCTACATAGCAGGATATAATGGGCCGCACCTCCAAAAAGTTAGATATGAAATTGTGCATGCAAATCACCTTGTATGTGTAAATAGTCAGCTCTGCAGCTGGTTGGCCACATCCACACACAAACAAACGTGCCACGAGGGTGAGCATCCACACGGATTACACGTAAAATCTTTGTGTGCACAATGGCGCATCTAAATTACGGCGGAAGTCAATCCAGCTCTTCCTAAAGCCGGGACTGACGGTCACACAGAGAAAGTGCCAAAATAAATTCCCCAGGACCCTGAGCCGTTTAGCAAAAATAACACCAGATTTTTCGTTCCAAATTAAAGTTCCAACATCCTTTAAAGCCTGCGAAGTTTAAATGACCTAATTTGTTTGGCAGCAAATTCTGAGTCCATAGGCTTAGAGCAAGTCACATTCCTCTAACATCGTTAGCATCAGCACCATATTTGGCAGTCAGTATCCTGCTCCTCTGAGCCCTTATCCTCAGGGATTAGCAGAGCCAAAAATATTTTACATTTAAAGAGACGACAAGGAAAAACAGAGAAAGAAATTAGAGAACGGGCTGTTTGCTGTTATCCCTGCCTGATGAGATTACTCAGGGGGCTCCATGATTTCACCCAGAATGTCATCGTAATGAGCTTAACTCTGTACAGACAGCGGGGAGCTGGGCTTGCCGAAATCAACTTTTTTTTTTTTCCATGGGAAAAAGCAGGTTGTAAATGAGTAATTTGCTAACTGTGAGGTTAGAAAATGGCTTCCTTCGGGGCAAGGCCACTGCTTCTTGTGTCCCGAGGGGACTAGGGACAGCAATCATCAGGTCCAGATTGCCATATTGAGATCTGTGCCAAACTTTTGTCGCCAAGCACAAA